AACAAGGCACTAGAGACAAGAGAAATATGAAGATGTACTCTGATTTTACTGTTCATATGAGAATATGGGGTTATTCTTTTCTTTTCTTTAACATATGCTTTCTATATATCAATTATTCTCTTCTCCTTCTATTCTTCTTCTTCTTCTTGTCTCACTTATTCACATACTAAAATGATAACAGGTGAATTGAGAATTGAATATCACAATTCACTTATTTGCACAAGACAATATCATTAACACTATATTGTCATGTAAAGGTCGTAGTCTTCATCTGATCAAATAATTGTCATGATTCATCTAGTCATGAATATTTTAATTCTTTTTTTTTATGACATGTACTTGAACTTTTACAATTAAAAGAGCAAGTGAAGGAAAGAAGATTTTTTTTTTACTATTCATACACAATTCTGCCTTGATTTATTTGTAATTGGGATCATGTCTCTTTATACATATAAAGTTATTTGTATATTCGCCCACCTACAGGCACATATAGGTTTCATTTAATTGATTCGATAGAAAAGAGAATGACGATTGGAAATGCATTTGAATTGTGTTTGATCAGTTGTTTTCTCTTTCCCTATATACTTTTGATTTTCTTCAGCTCATGATAAAGGAAAAATAGTAAGATGCAACTGACAAAGACATTGATTTATTGATAAAATAATAATAATGACAATGGACTAGTTCAACAGAAACCATAAATCAGACGGATAATAAATATATATTGACATAGATGGCCTCTGCAAATGAAGTCGTTCGTTCGTATTTGTCCTATGAAATGAGCTAATATGTAAAATTTAAACATCAGATAATAAAGAAAATTTAATACTATTATTTTCATGAACTTTAGTTGTAAATGATCTAGTATCAAATGATTAATTTTATATTGCATATCGATTTTCTAATGAAAAAAAAATCTAATTAAAGAAATTTACATGAACCGAATCAGTACAAGCTTTATAAAATGTGTACTAAATTATCGAAAGTATTTTTTGATGCAATTGATCCTGTTGTGGTCGTCAGTGTGTTTATTTACCACACGTTCTATTTTGTTATGGTGACGATAATCAATTATTATGACTATCCGTGTATTAACTTCAAATAATAAACTTTGTGAAGTAAACTCAAGAAATTGAAGGTACTGATATTGTTTTCTTTGATATGTATGTTCAAGAATATAATGAACATTATCCATCACCAAAATAAACGACATGTTTATATATTTCATTATCACCCATCTGAATAATGTGTATTCACACCAAAACAATGATCGATAAAATAAGATAAAATCAATTTTTTCGCAGGAATTCTTCATATTCTTATTTTTGTTTTGAGGATACTATGAAAGATTCCATATTTTCAGGATGATTTTTGAACGAATATTATTGAGGAAAGTATTAAAGATAGTAGATTTAAAGGTTTCAAATGAATTAAAATAAAATAAAAACGAATTCTATGTAGAACTTGATCAAAACAATGTTGATCTTATTGAACTTGAAGATCCGACAGAGGTAAATTATAGATATCTGGTAAACGTCAATGTATAAATACTCAACGAGCAGTAGTGAAAGGACAAATATCATATTGTACTGATTTGATGTTAAAAACATTCTCAATAATAGATAAATATAAAGATGTAAACGAAATTTCTTTTATTTTCATTTTTCAAGGAGTTTTTTTGTTATTCGTCTTCGAAATTCAAACTGATACCGATATCCTAATAAAATGTGATTTAATGGATACAAAAGAGATATTTTTAAAATTTTCTACAATGGCTTTTTTATACAAACTACACATGTCGACAACAATGTCATAAGTGTTATCATTGTGCAGTGGGTCAGTGAACGATGAGCACACGAGTGTTTAGGTTCATAATATCGACGAAAATAAAAACAGTCAAGGCACATATGAATCGACATGGATACAGAAATCTATCGATGTTGTCTTTTCTGTGCCAGCGCCCTCACCCACACTCAGATGCTTGTATACTTATATGTCCTTGTACTCATTGTTCCGGTTCCCATTCAAACTCTATTCAATCCAGTTAACAACAAAATATTCGTCTCTGTTGTACATCAATTCATCACTAAAACTTAGTGAAAAAAATAAATAAAATCTATTCTTATCTTACTGCAACGTTTGTCATCGTTCTATTTTATTCTCATTCTTCAAATAAGTAATTTTATCACTATGAGAGATTGATAACATATCACACATATAAACTCATGTAAAACGAAAGAAGCAAAGCAACAAGACACTTCATTCCATCAGCACAAAACGATACACAAGGTCATTTCAATAACTTTAACCAATGTCGAACAAAATGTCTCTCACTTTTCTTACATTACCGGTAGAACTTGTTTACCGAATTTTGGATCATCAGAATAATTTTACAATGGTCTGCTCAATGCGAAATGTCTGTCAACGATTCAATACAATCCTTGATAGCTACCACCGATATCAGGTTAACTTTTTTTCTATTCATGATTGTCTTTCTTTCTTTTATTTTCGAATCATTTCTTATTCTTACAATCCACAGGTCTGAGAATATATCAGTAAATAAAATAAAGATGACACATATTGCTTCAGCAAGTGTGAGTCTCTTTAAAAAGTCATTTACATAACAAAAGAACTATGAAAGAAATGATAAGATGTACATAAAAGCAACCCACTTTTTCGTTCTATTCTGAACAATCTATTGCTCTCCTATTCTTTTTATTTATCCACGTGTAATATTTAAAAGAGAAAGGAGAAAAGAAATTACTGCTACAAGTGCATCTGAACTTTTATTCACACACCTTTCATATTGAAAGTGACTTTTTCCAAGACATTGAAAAATCTTCCTAACTTAAAATGCTATACTTATACCTTAATGTATCACTTAAACATACTCTAATATTCTACTAGATTCAACATGTGTATTATACTATTTCAGTTTTAAAGAACAATACAGAACACTCCGTTGACGTATAGCAAGCTAGTAGAGACTCTCATTTGACTTGATCAATTGAATATCTAGGGAAAGCCCATGATTATATCCAGTAATACCTCATCATAGATTTCATCCATAATGAAATGATTGACTCCTTTTCTTCCATAGTATTTTTCCTTATTGTTTCGGCTCTCGGAGGTGGATTTTTGCGAAAAAAACAACAAACTGCACTTTCTAGTCCTTACCCTTGTTCTCAAGATTTCACTAAAATCTCATAAAATAGTAGGTTAACTGTGTATCTCTCTTTATCTATCAAATATACCCATTTATACTATTTGTTACAGACACTGACCACATTAAAACTCAGATGTAATGAAATTGGAGATGTTGAAGTACAGCATCTAGCGGATGCATTGCAAAATAATACGGTAAATATTTTTTTCTTCGTAATCCATTTCATATATTCATCTACTCTTTTTTATGCAGACAGTTACCATATTAGATCTGGGTCGCAATGACATCAAAACTGTTGGTACACAGCATCTGGCGGATGCGCTACGAACTAATACGGTAATTACCATTCTCTTTGTCATGTATTTCATATATTCATCTGCACTTTTTCATACAGGCGCTTACTACATTAGATCTCGAAGCGAATAGAATTAGAGATATTGGTGTACAGCATCTAGCAGATGCATTACGGAATAATACGGTAGCCATCATTCTGTTCCTCATCTCTCATATATCCATGCGCACTTTTTCACAAAGACACTTACCGAATTGAATCTCTCCAGCAATCAAATCGGAGATAGTGGAGCACAATATTTGGCGGATGCATTACGAAATAGCAGAGTAACTATCATTCTCTTCGTAATCTATCTCATATATTCATCTATACTTTTTTTTATACAGACACTTACCACATTAAATCTCAACTACAATCAAATCGGACCTGTTGGAGCACAACATCTCGCGGATGCATTACGAACTAATACGGTAACTATCATTCTCTTCGTAATCTATCTCATATATTCATCTATAC